TACCTGCCTTCGCGACTTCCACAACGCTCTCCTACGCGACTCCCTCATCATCGACACCGAGGCTGGTGCCCGGATCTTGCAACTCTACCAGGCTCTCTTCCATCGTCAGCTCGCCGACGCAGCCGTCCTTCTCGACGACGACGCACTCATGGACGAGGTTCCGCACACCCGCCCGCGCACGGAAGGCGCCCTCCCTGTCGGCATCGACGTGCAGGCTGCCCTGACTAAGGCTGTCGAGGACGGCGTTCGTATGGCCACGTCAGCCATCAACACGCGGCTGTCGGCTATCGAGGCCCAGCTAGTACGTGGGCGTCCGCTGCCACACCCTCCTCAGGCCCCCGAGGGACCGCGACCCCAACCGCCAATCCGTACTGGTCGACAACGTGCCCCCGCCGCCGACTCCAGTGCTGCTGCCCCTGCAGCGCAGCCTACAACGCAGCCTGAGACGCAGGCCCCGAATGCCCAATCTATGGCACAGGTGGCCGCCAAGAACCGCGAGAAGTGCTACGTCCTTCTCATTACTCCCGAGCAGCATGCCGCCATCGAGGCAGGGGGTACCATGCCCCAATGGTATGCTAAGGTCCATGCACGCCTGCGCGAGACCCCCGCGTGGGCCAAGGTACGTTTTCTCGGTCTTCGCTTCGCTGGACCAACCAAGGTCCAAGCGGCGTTCTCGCATGATTCCCCGGATGCACTCATCAAGGAGTGTCTCCGGCCCATCCGTCATCTGCTGGGCGTGGTCCCACGTGCACCGTCCCCTGCACCGGGCCCTCGAGAGCAGGCATCTGTCCCACAAGACTTCCGCCCTCTCGCCCCGGTGACTAAACTTTTCATTCCGAGCTGCCCGCTCCGTCACCCTGACTCGGGAGACATGCTCACCGAGGAGGAGATTCTGGCGGAGCTCCGCCGCAACTCCATGTTTTCCTCCGTTCACTTCAATGGTCTTCCCGGCTTTGTCGTTCCCCCTGAGCACCGTGAGCAGCTCGGGAAATCCTCCCTTATCATTTCTATTGAGGATGTGCACCGCGACTTCTGCGCGCGCAACCTCCTTGGTCGTGACAACCGCGGTGACGCCGCTGGCTTTATATGGTTTTACGGTTCGCGCCTGATGGTTAAGAAGTCGAAAGATCGTCCCGTATTCCGTCAGTGCACTCGTTGCTGGCGCCTCACACATCTCGAAAGTCACTGCAAGAAGCGGGCACCGGTGTGCCGCTTCTGTGGAAAGACTACTCACACGTCCGATATGCATCGGCAGGCCTGCCTTGTCTGCAATCATGAGGCTCGCCCGGCCGACCAGCCTTGCGAGTCTGCTCACTATTTCTGTGTGGTCTGTGGCACCAATGGTCACAATGCCGCCGACACCACCTGCCCTGCACGGAAAGATTACCGCATCCCCATCTCGCGCACCAACCCCTCATCATGAATATCACAACCGCGCATTTGAATGTGGCCTGGTCTAATCCGCGAGTCCACGGTTTCGTTTCTTCCACTTCCTACGATATCTATTTCCTTCAAGAACCGTGGTGGGGGCAAATCGGCATCGATACCCCCCATGGCTCTGAGTCAGGCACTGTTGTTTTTGGTCACGTCAATGTCCGGCCCTACGGCCTGGACGCTTTTCATTTCCCCTCAACCTCTGCGCTGCCGCGACCTCGAGCCAGTATCCTGGTCCGGCGCGTACTCTTAAACACTTACCATATATCCATGCGTACCGACCTGGTGTCGGACCCGGATGTAGTCGTTCTTCATTTCGTTTCCCGCTCTGATCCCACCCATGATTTCTTCGTGGTCAACTGCTATAACGAAGGCTCGCGAGCCCAACACCGCGTCCTGCCCACTCTCTATGACATCCCTTTCCCGCCACGAGCGAACCTCCTTGTCACCGGAGATTTTAATCTCCACCACCCCCTATGGTCGTGGACCGGACGGGCCTCCCGCTCTGCTTCCACTGCCTCCACCGCCTTCGCGGGGTGGCTAGAGCGCGAGTCGCTCGAAATCCTTAATGACCTCGATCAACCCACCCACATGGTGAATGGTGACCTGCTCTCGGGCACCATCATCGATCTGGTCTGCGCGACCTCCAGTGCACATTTTCACATTCACGGAGTCGCTGCTACTCCCACACCCTTTGAATCTGATCACGCTCTACTAACCTCTACTCTTTCTCACGTTGCTCACCCCGTAGACGTTGATCTTGGCTTTCGAGTCGATGTGTCCAAACGAGACGACTGGAACACGTGCCTTGCCCGCGAGCTGGCGCTGTCCCCACCGCCGGCCACCTATACCACCAATGACGACCTCGAAGCGGGCGCTCAGGCTCTGCTGCGAGCGATGTCCGTGGCCTGCCACGAAGTATTCCTCCGACGCACACATGCTCACCGGGCCTCCCAGCTCTGGTGGAACGATGCGTGCGACACTGCCCGCGCAAATGTCCAGGCGGCTCCTACTCGTGAGGAGAGGCGAGAAGCCAAAGCCACACTATCGGCCACCATCCGACAAGCTCGGAAGGATTGGACTCGGGAGGCGGTCGCGCGACTCCAGCACACCGACCCCTGGCGGCTCGCCTCCTGGACCAAAGGAGTGCGGGCACCCCCACTGCCTGTCATCCGAGTGGACGGGGAGACTGGCTCTCTCCCTGCCGACGCGGGTCGTCTACTCACACGTTTTTATTTTCCGGCGTCTCCGCCCTTGCCTGATCTGCCTCCTCTCTTTACCTCTACGCCTCCGGCAGCGCGCCCGGACCGCCCCCTCCTTGTCACTGAAGTAACTGCTGCCATTGAGGCAGCGTCTAACTATTCAGCGCCTGGCATCTCCGGAGCGTCGTGGCGGCTCCTGAAATGGGTCTGGTGGTCTGGTGCGCGTCATGCTCTTTTTCTCTTTCTTTCCTCTTCTTTGCACCTGGTTTACCTCCCCGCCCCACTTCGGGCTGCGGCAGTTGTGTACTTGTCCAAACCGGGCAAGGCGGATTACACCGCACCCAAGTCCCACCGACCAATTGCGCTCTTAGAAACCTTGAGCAAGGTCCTCGAAAAAGTGGTTGCTGCTCGTTTCAACTTCCAGATCGGTGCTCACAATCTTGTGCCCGGCTCACAGTTTGGTGGGCGGGGCCAACATTCCGTCGTGGATGCCGGAGTCACTCTGATGCACCGTGTACGCACCGCCTGGGAAAACGGTTTCTCTGCTACCTTACTGTGCATGGACGTCGAGGGCTATTGCAATAACATCCGCCACGACGTCCTTCACGCTGCGCTCCTTTCTATGGGTTTTCCCACAAATGAGGTCCTGTGGACCATGTCCTTCCTTTCTTCGCGCACTGTGCAGCCCAAACTCAATTCAGAGATGGGTCCATCATACCACGTCGCTGCGCTCGGCATCCCACAGGGATCGCCTCTGTCGCCAGTCCTCTCTACCATATACTCTTCCCCGCTGTATGCGAACCTTGATCCATTCGCGCATCCCCAGCAGTCTACGGCGGGCTACGTTGACGATTTTGCCCTCCTTATTGTTTCTCCCTCGCTGAACGAGAACACGGCCATCATCCAACGCACTCTACCGAGTGTGGGCACCATGCTTCACCAGCTTGGGCTGACCATTGGCATGGCGAAAACCAAGCTTATGCACTTTACCTCCCCGAGACGCTCCCTTGACGTCAACCCTCCCCTGCGGGTTCAGTGGGATGGGCGGGATATCACCATACAACCTGCTTCATATCTGCGATGGCTCGGCATCTGGTACGACTGACGCCTAACCTTCACCCACCACATTCGGGTCATGGCAGCCAGGGCTTCGTTCCGTGTAGCCGCTTTCCGCATGCTCGCCAACACACAGCGAGGCATGACGGTCGCGCAAGCCCGCTTGCTATACCTTACCACCATCCTTCCCGTACTCACCTTTGGTAGCCCCGTGTGGTATAACCCGCGGGGCCCACGCTCACGCTTTCAACCTTTGCAACAGGTACAAAACAACGCACTGCGGTGGTTCATGGGAGCATGGCGGTCTACCCCCCACCACGTCCTCAACCTCATATCCAGCGTCCTGCCAATGTGACACCAGCTCGACAAGCTCAACGGCCTTGCCGCAGCTCGCCTCCTCACCCTCTCCGAGTCCCATCCAGTGACCCACTGCCTAGCGGCCAACCGCACTGCCCACCCGCCCAACTTCTCCCTCCTCAACCCCGCCATCCCAATCCACCACGGCACCAGCGCAGTGGATGTGCTCGAACAAACCCTACCCAAGCGAGCGGCGCACCTTCTCCCCTGGTTGCAGCTGCCCTGGGACCCTGCGCACCCGTGGGGTGAGAGGGTTCACGTCTGCGTCCCTCCACCTACCAAAGATGGCTCCAAGGAGTACTTACGTTCCTTTTTCTTCCCTCTTTTGCATTCTTCCATCCCCCTACCCGATGCCCTATGGGTCTTCACAGACAGCTCCCAAATCGCCCAGCCTGACCCCACCCTGTGGAACTGACGAGCAGGTGCAGGTGCGTGTATCATTCACCAGGGTGCGATAAAGTACGAGCGGGCTTGGGGCATGGGCCACCAGGCTGAGGTGTACGACGCAGAACTCTTCGCAATGGCAGCGGTCGCCAGCCGCTTTGCCGATTTTCTGGCGACCTACCCCATGATTAATCACACTTACCTCTGCGCGGACAACCGCGCTGCCCTGTCCAATGTCCTGTCGCTGCGCCCACACAGTGGCCAGCCCTTTTCTCTTCGCTTTCGGGCACTTCTCGCTCCTCTCATGGAGCAATACCCACTTCTCAACATTTCTTTGCTATGGGTTACCGGGCATACGGGTGTACTGGGTAACGAGGTGGCGGACCGGCTAGCCAAGGAAGGCACGTCCCTACCCGATAGTGTCCTACCCACTTTGACGTAGATCCGGCGCTGGGCGCGCGAGCGAGCGACCACTTCCTGGCAAACCGATTTCCGTTACGCCGATCGACCCACTGCCATACGGTCCTCGTGGCCGTCCCTGCCTTCCCAGACGCTACACCCTGTTTTCACTTCTAAATATTATGAACGCGACGTCGAAGCCAGGTTAATCCAAGCCTTAACGGGCTACGGCTACCTGGCCCCTTACTTTTCTTCTCAATTTGGGACGGCGGGCCCCGCTCGTCACTTCCATGGCGCACCCTGTGTATGCGATCTAACCACCCCCAGCACCCGCACCCACGTCATGATGTGCTGCCCGAGACACGCGCACGCACGGCACCTGCTTTTCCGGAACCCCAAGCCCACCCTCCTAGATTTACGTCGGCTTTGGCACCACCCCACCGGCCTCCATCGCCTCATCGCTTTCATTTCTACCACACCCGCTTTCTCCACCGCGGCCCTCGCGCCCCCGGACCCTGGCTGATACGCCTTACCCCCGCGGCACTTCTGTGACCAATCCCTTTATTTACTCATAGTCTACACGTCGACACTTCCTCGTGCGGTTTCACTCCTGTATTTACACCCTTCCAACCGCGCATAGTGCGGTATAGAAATAAATGTACAAAAAAAAAAAAAAATTTTACTTGCCGTTCAGCTAGGCTCATAAATCAGCCTTCGTACAGGAAGACACATGTACTTTACGATCCTGGTTAGGCTCTGACTCGGACGTGATCTGTTCACACCTTTATATCCGCTCCTACTTAGGTAGTCCTACACTCAACTTGTACCTAAACACACCCCCGACCGCCTTCGGCGGTATATAAATTGTATTAAATTTTTTTTTAAAAAAAACTCACCGTTCAGCTATGTAACGCAGTTTGTCCCATCTATTTGTTCTTATTTGTCTCGATCGATCACTTACCCTTTCTGCCTGTCCTACATTCGACGTCGTTCCGTACGTTTCAACAGGTTTCTACTTCTCGAAACATGAGTCGCGCATCACCAAATTGCACAACACTTGCTCATTCACGGAGCACCATTGAAACATGATCCCAATCCAGGAGAATGCAACAGATCACGACTCTCTGCGTGCCATCGCAGATGCCGTCAAGACACGGCACGGCTACATTAACCTACTCGTGAACAACGCAGGCATGATGATAAGCCACCAGCCGAAGCTCCTGAAGTCCGACGAGGTGAGCATCACAGAGTATCGAAAGCTCCTATGGAACTACAAGATGGATGAGACATTCGCAAAAACGTTCAAGGTGAACGTCGCCTGCGTGTAGTTCTGTGCCAAGGCATTCCTCGAGTTCCTGTGCAAAGGCAACGAGTGCAACATCGAAGATTGTCATGATCTCGAGCCTTGCAGTGCCGCTGGCTTTTCCCGGATCCCATCGGGCGTGCCTGCAACGGCTGTCCAAGTCCAATGGATGAATATGTACAACCACTCTGCGAGACCTGAGACTCTCTATACTCTGTATTAGACGTGTCTATGAGACCACTGGAATAAAAGAAATAAAGTACAAGTAGGCTATGAGAGAAAGAGGGGCATGTTCAGTGAGTATGTGTACACTACAGTCACAATGATCCTCAGCCACCGTATGCATGACCTGTTTTGTTCATGAGAATATTTTAAAGATGATCAAAAGGAGAACCATTGTTTGCTTATATTTTTATCAATGACAGTTTCTAGAATTATTTTAACTCTTATCAACTAAAATGTGCAGCAGACATTTTTGATTGAAATCAAAATAATATATTGAGTTTGGTCAAGGTAATGTCAAGCAATGAATAGAAATTTGTTCACAGTTGACGGTTGCATAGATTTATTGCTTCACATTATTATAACCAAATTGAGTGCATTATGTTAATTTCAATCACCTATCTTTGCTGCATAATTGAGTTAATAATGATTAAAATAATTTGAGAAGTTGTCATTGACAAAAACATGAGCAAACTGTGGTTCTCCTCACAATCATTTTTAAAATATTCTCATGAACAAATAGGCTGTGCTGCCTGTGATGTCAGCCACCCAAGTGTCAATTTTTTTAAAAAAACAATTTACAATTTATATACTGCTGAAGGCGAGGACCCCCAAAAATCCCCCAAGAGCCTAGATCCCCGAGACCCCCCGAGGGGGTCTCCGACGTGAAATGTTTGATGCTAATGCCCCAAATCTGACCCCTGCAGTCAAAAATGTTGGATCTAAAATGACCCCATATGGGAATGTTGTGGGCTCAGGTTCGATCCCGATTGACCCCACAATCTCCAGTGATGATGGTGTTCTGATGATTTCTCACGATTTTCTCGATTTATCTACGATTTTATTTACGATTTATGCAATTTTATACGATTTTAAACGATTTCTTACGATTTCTTTTTGGAGGTTCGATCCCAAATTGACCCCAAATTGCCCCCGTTTAGGAGGAGGTTCAGTCCAAAATACCCCACTTCGGACCGTTTTCGAGACCCCATATCGAGTCCCAGCAGGATCGAAGCTCTTGGGGGATTTTCGGGGGGTCCTGCAGCGCGGGACTACGTGAGGTAGGGGCGGAACCTGGCGGAACCCATGTGTCAAACGAGATACATAGTACATACGAGATCCGATCGACGCGGTTGGGGAGCTGAAAATGCTTATGTAACTATTACAGTCGCACTTTGAGACCCGGGTAGTACTGTCCACTCTTGCGGGTCTTGTCAATACTGGACTCTTCAAACACTTCCGAAAAGAAGGTTTGTTACACTCAATTGCTTCCCCAATCCAAGCTCAATTTGCTCTCGTCAGGGTGTGCTTGCCAGGTGCTGACGCGTGCATATAACCCGTTGTGAAAGAGACGCCCGTCGCTTTTCGCTTTTCCAACAGACGCCGCATTCAGCCTTGCTGTATTTAGTCAATGTTTTTTTCGCATGAGGAACCAGAGTTCTAACCGTTCCTCTATGTAGTTGGCTCCTAAGGTGCATTGCGCCACGCATGTTCCTTGACGAGTCAGACAGAACCTGTGCTTGGTCAATATTAATTGGGTACAAGTTTTCCGTCCCACTCGCAATTTGCCACGGCGCTGTCGCTTCTCGCCTCCTTGTCCCTCCTTGCCTTGTCCCTCCTTGCCAGACGCCGCATTCAGCCTCGCTTCTATCCTCGCTGCAGCCATGTCCGCGAACGCATCATCGTCAAAATCCTCCGATGCATTCAAACCATCTGAATCTTTGAAGGAGGAGCAAGCTATACCTCATCTCGGGATGCTGGAGGAGGACGATGAGTTTGAAGAGTTCTCGGTAGCGGGTTCGTTCATGCGTTTCATTCTCGCAACTTATCCACTAACAATTGTACCCTATCCGAAGATTGGGACTATTCTCAGACAGACCTGGCTCATCTAGGAGGAGCAGCCCCGGGGGCGGCAAAGTCTGGGGGCGACAAGTTGTGGGAGGACAACTGGGACGATGACGATATTGAGGATGACTTCAGCGTGCAGCTTCGGTGTGTTATAGCGGCTCATATTGCTGACATCAAGGTTGACCTTGCATCTGTGACCACTCTGATAGGAACGAGCTCGCGAAGAAGAGCCAAAGTGCGAGCGGAGGTCCTGAGCCAATGCAGCATTAGCGGACGTACACCAGATTAGACCTCCCACCCCGACATTTCCGTGGATGTACTTCTCTTGTAGCTGTGTATACACTGAATTCACGGACGATTCATCGCACCAGTTTACCACGCAGCACGTTTCTTTCTTTTCCAGGACAGCCAGGTATCCCACTTATTGGCGATACCTCCGAGGCTCCGGAGGCATACTGTCGAGCGCATGATTTCGGCGACCTGTAGCCACATACTTCGAGATTTTCAATGATAACAGTTACAGCAACTGGGTCACTCGTGGCTGGCACGCGTTCACACTTAATATACGGTGGACACGAGTGAACTTCTCATCCGCTGCGTATGTCATGTATCTATCTATTGACTCTGCTTCCTATGAGGATCAGACACTGATTCTTTTAGCTGTAGGTCACACGATCGATCCATCCTACCTTTCAGGACGACCCGGTGAACGGAGATCGTACTTCCTTTCCTGCGCTATCATACGTCGTCTTCCTGCTCCGTCATGAGTAGTTTAACGTTTTGGCTCCTAAACACGCTCATGGCGCCATCTGCAATAGAGACGCTGTCGCTGCGGCGCTGAAGAGTGGTCAACTTTCCGGTTACGCAGGGGACGTATGGAATGTACAACCCGCTCCGAGAAATCACCCCTGGAGGACAATGAAGAACCCTCTCGGCAGAGGAAACGGCATGCCAGTGCCTCACTACTCGGCACGACGCTGGATGCGCAGTCGATATCCCTGTCTTGCTCGCTTCTTCTAGTGTGCTATACTTCTATGCATGGATGATATATTGTGACTCGCTCATGTGCTCGAGCCATTGATGTCGACAGACGCACCGGCGTCGTTTCGATGATGTCCGACTCGGAGACAGGTATGACTTGTCCTTCGCTGTCACTCCTGCTAATTATGCCGCTACTCAAAATAGTGCAGCGCACATTCTATCAGCGGGACCCGGGTGGCCGGCTTAGCCAGAACATCCATGTCCGCACGATGGTCAAGACTCGTAAGGATGTAATAGCGACGAGGATGATGCCAAGATGTACAGAATCAAGGCTCATTACTACCGTGAGATAAGTAAAGGGACCTAGGTATGCTCACACGATCTCATGTGGAAAGAAAGTCAGGCATCCCATGTAGATACAGAAAGACGACTCGAAAGATGTTCAAGTTCCAAGTTGCTGATTGAAACAATCCACGATTGAGCAAGCACGGCTTCTGTTCATAAAACCAGCAAGGGTAGATCCCAGCTCCTTATCCACCAATCAACGTCTTCGAACACAGACATACGAAGCGGTGCAGATTCAACGTATAGAGGATCGCGTCAGCAGTGGTTTCGAGCGAAGGAAACGGGTCCAGAAGGCGAAGCAACTGCGGTCCTATCTGCGGCTCCTTGCCGATACAGCAGAGGTGGTCATCAAAGAATGGGAGATCGAGGAGCAGACCCTCCAGCGGAACGATCCCATTTGCCGTCGCCTACGTTGTTTGAGGCGCGCCGCACTTTCATCGGCGCATGTGGCATGGGCATCGATCTTGTACACGATCCCATCGTCCGGATGACCGAAGTTATAAACTCCTACTTCGTGTCGCAAGCTTTGCGTATTGCTGCAGAATCACGCATCGCTGATGTTCTGGACGGCGCCGATCCGGAAGTAGGCATCTCAATCCAAGATATCAGTCGACAGGTTGGTATCGATGCGCAGAGTCTAGGCATGTTTTCTGCTTGTATAAACTTCCATGCTTCTGATTAAAGAGGAAGGACGCGTCCTTCGCTGTCTTTGCACCATCCACATCTTCGCCGAGGCGAAGGTTAACTATTATGTGAATAATGCAGACAGCCAGCATCTTGTCCGCAATGAGCCTCTGAGATGCTGGCTGTTGACACAGTGCGCCTCACGATTTTGCCGCCAGCCGATCTGTCTCGCTAAGGTTTCTCGTGACTAGGTGCATGGAGGGATATATGGCCTCGGATAAATTGCCAATAGTCCTTTACGGTTCGCTCGACAAGCCTTCACCAAAATCCGCTTTCCAGGAGGCCTATGCCACAGATAAAGGCTTCTGGGAATGGCTTGAGCAGATGGTCGAACTTCCCGTGGCCCCTCGACCGGAGCGAGAAATATGGAGAACCGGCATATGGGAGTTTGGCTCAGGGCCTGTTCAGGCCCCTGCCGTGTTTGTTGGTGAGTCTGCATTTCAACATTTGCGATGCAGTCTTAACGGATGTCACCAGAATTAGCGTGGTTGTCGACGTGGGAGCGGGTATTGGTAAATTGAGTCATTTCGACTCGTATTCAAGTTGCGTCAGATTACTGAAACAGCACTATGATGCCCTAGGTGGAATGAGCATGGAGTTAGCGAAGCGGTACCCCAAATTACAATTTATCGTTCAAGATCGCGCAATGGTCAGTCAAGAAGCTGCGGCAGTCTGGCAGAGGGGAACTTCCGGAAGCATTGTCATCAGGGCGAGCAGAACTTGTCACCCACGACTTCTTCACTGAACAACCGACGAGAGGTGCAGATGTGTATCTGCTGCGCCACATACTGTATGTACACCCGTCGTGCCTGTTTTCAGCGCACTAATCTGCTTCAGTCACGATTGGGAAGATGATGTCTGTGTCACAATTCTGTCGCACGTTCGTAAGGCAATGGGCCTCTACTCGCGCGTCCTGATAGCAGATAATGTGATGCAAACCACGGTGGGCCCCAGCTACCTGAAGTCAGCGCCGTCACCGCTGCCAGCGAATTACGGATATGGACATTCATTTGCGAACATGCACGACCTGCTCATGTTCACAATGTTCAAGGGAGGAGAGCGCACGTAGAGGAGTTTAGCATACTAGCGGCGCGGTCAGGGTTACAAATGACGAAGATACACGAGTGTCGCGGGCTGACCTCTATTACGGAGATGAGGAGAGATGATTATACGGAGTAGTTCCAGGATTGTTTGAACTTGATATCGTTGGCTATCGGTGTATATAAGCTGATCGTATGCATGTCCAAATAAAGGGCGCGGCCCCGAAGCGTCTTTTGCTGCCCCAAATGTCGCTTAACTGCTAAGTTTAAACTAGGCGGCTGGAGATTGAAGATATCGGCTGTTACTGAACATGATTCTGACCATTTAGTAGACACGAGTAAAGGTGCATGTTGCCAAGGGGGAAGGTAGTTGAGTTGCCTGCAATACTTCACTTGTCTTTCAGCTACCGACACATTTACGTGTGCGCGTACGGAACCAGCACTTTCAGGTAAAAACAAACGACCCTTGAGTTGGCGTCTGACTTGAGTCGCAAATATGCAGCACGTGTCGCATGCACCAGAACGTGCAGTGATCTGCGTCTGTGTCACGCTGTCCGCTTGCATGACATTTTTAAACATACAGGCTGCGCGGGTACCGTGCCAATCAGGATCAGGTTCGTGATGGAGAAAAAAAGCTAGGATTGATCTGCCCCAATCGAGGTACGTATAAAAAGCGCCGGCGCTCTTAGTCAGTCCGGCCACTCATCAGTCGAATGTCGCCATGTAATCATCCTTACTCGCTGTATGAAGATAATAAAGGATAGGAGGTACTGCTGACAGATTTATCAGTTTTGCGAGCAGTACGGAACAAGTGCATCTGAACGGTTGCTACTAAAGAATCCTCAGAAAAGAGCGCCCCTCGACAGTCTCTGCCGTGGATTGCACTCACCACATTTTGGATTGTACAGCCATGTTGGTATAAGGGATAGAGTATACGTCCTACAGGAAGGATGCGGCATCGTTCACTGGACGATCCGCGCGGGAAAGAGTTTGCTGCCAGAACACTTCTTTGGGATTGAAATCTCTGTACCAGCACGGTTCACGTCCAAAGACGCTCTTCAGCCATTCGTACTTCGCCTTTGTCGGCCGTTCACAGAACATTGATTTTGTGGCTGTGTATGCGATAGCGATAATCCACTGGCGAGGAATCCCAGGATCAAGAGCGTCGTCAGGAGTGGGAGCACCGTCGGGCAACACAGGCAGGTAGTATATGTGCCGAAACCTCGCCAATCTCCTCAGTTGTAGAACGCTGTGTGCGATCAGTCCCTCCTGGCAGTTGACCGCGCCGGCACTAGTGCGCGAAGCGAATTTTCTCAGCCAGTCTTCATCCACGGGCCATCCGAGCGCATAGTAACGATTGTGGTCACGAATCTCTGGAGGAACTTGAGGGTACCGCGCAGGCTGTAGCAGCTGCAGAGAGCACGCTTAGTATCGTCATAAGCACCATGGCATCGTGAATGAGCTTACCAGACTTGGATGAGTTTGGGGTTGGACGCGACGTAGAGGCGTGCCGAACTGCGACATGGTTCACGGGAATGCACCGGAAGGCCACAAAGACAGCCACGGCGGAAGAAGTGAAACCTTGCCGTCCCATTGATCGATAAGGTCGCACTTTATAGGCCGCAGTGGGTGCGGTGTGGAAAGCTTGCCTATCGCGGACAACACGTGGAACCTGCCACGTTCCGTTCTTCCGTTGTTTGTCCTTGCAGCTTGAGTGCGCACTCATTTGCCCAGGGCATGTCACATGTCACCATAGCTCATACCTCATACTCGACATCGTCCGAAGGTGTCATACAATTAAGATACATACCACTGAGCTAGCAGGTGGAGCCCACTACATTATGCATAGATGACTCGCAATTCCTGAGGCAGACCGAATGCCATTCGGTGTGTTCGGTCGTGAGGGCCGTCGTAGACTTTCCCAAGATACTTGTGACAGACATGAGCACATATCTTTTAAAGGCAGGAGTGTCGATTAGACGGCGACTAGACTACAAAGAAGCTCATGGCTACACCTTCAAAACAGCAGACCCGTTAGCCACGGAAACGACGAAACGATACGGCAACGGACTATTCTTCCTTCTTCACTTTATACGATGCTAACTGCTCCCTAAGGAATTTCTCTAGTTTAATAGAGTTCTTGTAATAGATGGTACCTTCTGGATTGTACGTGCGACAATTGTCGAACACCAGCTGTGCGTCGACGAGAAAGGCATCCAATGTAGGATACTGATTTGTTTCTAGCTTGTGCTCCATGGTGCTGAAGTCTGCAGACTCGTGACGATCTTATCCAATTGATCATAGACGAGATGCTTACCCATTGGTTGCTTGATGACTTCGTAATAATCAGCGACCTCCTCTGCATTGACAGGCTGCAGGAATGGCCATGCAAGACTGTGGTTCTGCAAATCAGACAGAAGTTTCTCCATGATGGTATGTTCCGCTCCTCTCCCTGTTGGACGTGCAGTGCTGCCGTGCCAAATGGATTAGCATTAGTCCTAGAACCGCATAGAAGACACTGCGCATACAGCGATGCCATTGCTGGTGTCCACCCACTCTCGCCTGCATAGAAGATGTCTGTGAGAAGGGCAAGCATCGCTCGACAACATCTTAAGCACGCACGCAACCCGGGAACATCTTGCGGATCGACAGTTACGCCTTCTGGGGCGTCCCCGCTAAACTGTGGTAGACCTTCGTATACAATATGGCTCCGCGACATTTCCCTGATCTTCGTCATGATTGCGTCTTTCTGCTGTGCGATGACTTCTTTCGTCTTCAGATAGTCGACCTTTGCCAACATTGTGCATTGCATGATCGTCCCTCCCTCGTAATCCTTGATATAACCCGACCAGATCGATCGGTCCAATGTAATCTCTTTCGAGAAACCCTGCTTGCGGAAGTATCCAACGGCGTAGTTATCTGCATAGGTGAGGAAGTACCACATATCCGAATACGTTCGGCGAATATGAGCTTTGAAATGGTCCATGAGCATCGAGCCGTATCCCTGCTCGCATGTCACTTGTGAGGGAGAAGGATTGGGGGGTTATAGACCAACCTTCACTTGATCAACGGATGCAGTGGCAAAGAAGACTATTTCCGCGAAGCCACGATGCGGGAAAGGCCTGTAACAGATCCCGCCAACAACCTTGTAACCGCGCTTGACAATCGCTAAACACTTCGAGTTTGAATCATATACGAGCCGAGCAATGTATTCGCGTGGCATCTTAGGTAGCTGCTTCTGGAACAGTGTCTTCAAGCCCGTCAGGATAACCAGTGAACGCGGCTCTCGGTCGTTCTCAACGTCAACAATTTTGATGACACCTTTCCTCAGCTCAACTTGGGCAGCCTTCTCCGGTTTTGAGGAAGGCTGCAGACCATCATTAGTGACCGCCCTGATCGAACTTATATTTGCGCACTATGCCGGATACAACACCTCCCGTATCAACGGGCACACCAGTGGCCAGACGAATCAACTGCCCTTCGTCCATCTTCTCCTCGACCTTGATCTTTGGCTCGTAGTCCTGCACACCGCCTGTGTGCCGATTCATTTCCGCCTGTTCATCCCCCGTCGGCGGTGCTATTGATGTTGGCGCCGTCCTCGCTTTCATGCTCATCGCCTGCTTACCACCCCGTTTCTGTCCCATCGGACGGTGCCCACGATCTTTTCCGGAATGACCAGCTGGAGACTTTTGGCCGCTTGTCATTTGAGCAGCCAAGGGTTTGTCCTCTTCGTCCTCGTCTTCATCACTGCTACTGAGAGACGAGAAGGACACTCGACGTTTCTTCGTCGGTGGTTCTGGGCCATCAAGCGCGTCACTCAGAAAGGATGACGCTGGCGATAGCAGGTGCCTGCCTGGCGAAGACGGCACTGTCTTGCATGTCTCAGATCACTGAAGTCCTTCGCGCATTGAGCATCCTCACCTAGTGATCCCAGGGCATCTGATATTGAGCTTTCTCGAGACGATGGAGGGATCTGCATCTGCCGCCGCAAACCGGAGATGTGGTCGTCTGTGTACGCAAAGTCCAGCAGTTTGTCCTCATCCTAACAAGAATGTGAACCGAGGGACACTAGATGCAGAGGCATTTGCAACTCCGCACCTGCGAATATGGTGAGTCACGGCCACTCAGTAACTAGCAATCTTGATAAATACGCGCATGAAGTACCTTCAGCAACTCGTCAGCTCGGACGGCAACACGACCTCTCCGGCCGAACTCCTCCGGATCAATAGAGGACTGGTCAGCGCCATGCTCGCTGAGGTCATGACCGCAAACACAATTCGACAGGTATGGAGGGGATGCATTGTCTACTTTCGAATGAAGCTCTGTCGAGTCCTCCGGCAACGTGTCATCTTGTGGTTCCGAGTCGAGAGTAACATATACACCGGGTGGTGGTCGGAGTCCAGGACATGAGGAACACGCGGTACACCTTGAATGCCGCGCGATCTTGACGGCCAGCTGCTCATCAGATAGACTGGGTATCTCATGCGAAGCAGGGTATAACGCCTTCATTGTCGCAAAGCGAGGTTATCAAGCCAGAGAACGGTCGGCGAGGAACGGTCGCGTTCGGCGTGCACGTCGGGCAGAACATTGTCACCACAGACACCGGACACCTCGTATCGATTTGCAGCTGAGCGCTTCCTTCTCAACCTTCCTCCATTCTAGGATCCCACTTTGCACTGCCCGCATTGCGTCCAATAATCAATGATTGAATATAGTGCTACAGCTCCTTCCACAAGGATCAATTTAGTGCATGAAAATTAAAGCACAATGCGGCATCAACTCGTCTCAATTGTCACAGAAGTTGCTATCATTCTTCGTCAAGAATTCCTGTCTCTACTTGCAAGACCACATCCCTTGTACACGCCGTTCATTTGACAATTGACAAACACCAATCAGACAGCCAATATATCATTCAATCAGTATTCCACCGTCTTCAGTAGTCAGTTTGTATGTCATTTTGACCACGCGTAAGCCGAACGCGTATGTGTATGGTATGCAACGGCGACTTCCACATTTCAGTAATATTACCTTGCGACTGCAAGGTTTCTCCCAGGTCAGAATGTAAGGCGATTTTTTACACAGGATTTTGTACTTGTTTGGCTCTGTTTAATAATGTTTCTCTCCATCGGCCTTAACGCCACCTCCCCCTCCCCCACACTCGATCCTAACACCACCACACCCCCTCCTCCCAAACGCACTCGTTATA